GCGGCCGCGCGGCAGCTGCGCTTCGCCGACCCCGATCCCGGCCCCGGCGCCGAGAGCAGCCCCAGCCCGGACAGCAGCAGCGGCGGCGGCGGCGGCGGCGGCGAAGCGGGCTGCTCGTGCTCCGGCAGCAACGGGGCGGCCGACGCGGCTCCGTCCTCGCCCCGCGACGCGCCGGCGGCCGCGCGGCTCAAGCTGCTGCCCATGAACGACCAGATCCGGGAGCTGCAGACCATCATCCGGGACAAGTAAGCCGGCCCGCGGCGCGTGGCCGCCCCCGAGCATGTGCCGAGCGCCGCCCGCCGAGCCCAGGCGCCGTCCCGCGTGCTGGAGGCGGCGGGCGCGCGGCGCGATGGGGGCCCGGCGGCTTGGTGCCGGGGCTGCGCGGGGACAAAGAGGCGGCTGGGCGTGCGGAGCCCCGCGCTTCTGTGCTGAATTTGAATTTGCGCGGCTCGGCACGTTTCGGGAGCGGCCGCGCCTCTCCCGCCGTGCTCTCAGTTCTGGGATGATGATGATGATGATGATGATGATGATGATGGGAGCTTTAAAAAGTGGGAGACTGGGTGGTGCTGGTGATTTAGTTCATTTCTCCGCCGCCCCGTAGCCGAAGCTTTCCGGTTTCCCCCAGACGTTTAGAACAGACGCATTGAAAGCAACGGGGCCTGAGATCATCTTGACTGATGGCAGCCCCATGGACTTCAAAGTGCTTTCTCGAAGTATGAGTAAGCCTGGATTCATCCCAGGATCTGCATCATGCTCTGAATCATGCCCAATCCAAGTTGTGGATTGGTGAGGCTGTCCCGGTTTCCTGGAGCCTGAAGGATCATCTGCAGGCTGGCCAGGTGACTGCATGAAGGCCCTGTGTTCTGGAAAGACAGGTGATGGGACGCAACCTTTGAAAGCAGAGGAAGAGCCAAGGTGAAGGGGGATTTCCTTTTCAGCAGCCATGGCGAAATAGCGAGTCATGGAACTGGAGGGATTCCTGGTGCACAAGCCTGTGCCCAGGCTCCTTGCCGGGGACCTGCGGGTTTGCCGCTTCCCTGCTCTTGGCTTGCCCCCAGGTCTGGATTTGTCCTGTAAAGATGGCCTGCGGACAGTTCTCCCCATCTGCTATCCAGAACAGGTCGCCGGCATTGAAGCAAGAGTGCCCTCTGGGTAGAGGGCTAGGGGATCTTGGCTCCTTGTCCAACGCTGGCGGGAATAAAGAGGAAGGAATGTGAGGTTAGGGTAAGTCAGGACCCTCATTTCCTTGAAATCGGTCTCCTGCCTTGCCGAACAAGCCACAGCATCCATTTCGTGTCTTCTGGTCTCTCACTGCTAGCTTGCAAGCAAAAAAGCCAGTCCTGCTACTTGGGACCTTGCTGATCAGTACCGCTATCCATTTTGGCTCTCGTTCATGGAGGCACAGTCTGCAAGGCAGCCACACGTAGTGGGAAGTGTGTGAGAGGCTTTGCCCAGGCAAAAGTTTCACCTTCTAAATAGCTCAAAGGCGGAATGTTTCAAGACACTTCTACTCTTCTGTCTCTGTTGCAGTTGTGTCCTATAGTCTAATTTTTCTCTTCCTCAATAGCAGATGGGGGAAGATTGTGCATCTCACGTGTATATTTTCACCAAGTGTCCTAGATATCATTAGGATCAGGCTGGCCTCTTGGGATTTCTTGGGAGGGCTTATATGTTTGAGAGTTAGCTTAATTGGAAAGTGAGTTCCATTTCAGCAGTTCCTGTTTGTATTGTAAGCCGGAACAGAGTCACTGATGTGGCTTGTCAAAGCCTGTGTTGTGGAGAGGGGCATATTTGCAGGCTGTGCGGATGCAAGGTGTGTACTAAGATTTTTTATACTTGAACTTCTGGAATGACGATTTAAACTGTTGCCTAGAACAAAAATATCTTGTGCCTTGAGTAAAATATTCTGAAAATGAATGATGGCTCCCGGTGGAAATCGCATAATTCTTCACAGTTAGTCAAATGAGGATATCTTTGATCATACTGGTGTTGAGGAAAAGGTAGCATTTAGTCGGCTGTACATCCCTTACGTCCACGGCAGACTGCGAAATGCTCTGCCCGTGGGCCTGGTGAGTCATAGCAACGATTCACTGGCTTATTTCAGTGTTAATACACTGATGTCTCTGACTGAATGGATTTTTCCTGCCCTTCATGTGTGTCAAACCACACTTTTTTAATAGTTCCAAGCATTTGTACCCCATTCTCAAGCCATAACCCTCCAACTTTCAGCAGCTTACAAATATCAGTAACAAGGGAAAAGAGAAATAGGCAGAGAAAAGGTAAAAAGCGAGTGCAAGTAGCAGTTCCGATGGCCGGCTGGGATGGAAAGAGTGCGTGCAGCCTGAGGGAACAGCTGCAGTCAGGCGGTAGCTGAGGAGAGCCACGTACAACCGGGCTGCAAGCAGAGGCGATGCAATAGCCGTGTTCCCTGCTCCTTGCTTGATGGAAAGGATGCCACCAGATGAGTGGAACTGCCTCCGCTCTCTGCTTCCGTTCCTCCCCCTTCCCATTGTCGCAGTCCTTTCTTCCGCCTCTAATTATTTGTTGCCAGATATAGAATCAAACGGTTGTGTGTTAGGAGAGTATGACTTTTGTTTGCAGAGAATGTGCTTGAAGTAATTGGCCTGATTGTGTGTGTGTGTGTGTGTGAGAGAGAGAGAGAGAGAGAGAATTGGTTCTAAATAAAATCAGTGTGAACTTACAGGTATCACTAAACTGGAATGGCCTCTAGCTGGAATGGAGGCTCACCGAATTGTACCTGTGAAGTCGCAATGACTACTTTGGAATCAGTTCCTGACTCTAGATAGATGCATGAAGCGTGCAGTGAGAAGCACTATTTACATGCTGCCTGGAGTTGAAAGCACCATGATTACTTGGGTGGAGTCGAGACAATAGACTGACTTAGACAACAATCTAGTCTTTTCTGGTATTTAAGTCATCAGTGTGAATTTATATAAGTAAGGAAAGATAGAAATAATGTCTGTTGGGTGATATTGGGTTCTTCAGGTGATATTAAGAATTTTTTATTTACCCAGGGAAATGAATTGGGGGAACTGTTCATCCTTCTATTAATATCCCACCACTCAGTTCAGGGGGAACAAGAATCTCTGTATACAGTATTTAATTAGCGTATCAAATTCACTAAAGCTGGAAGTTGCAGCTTCAGTGGCCATTGCAAATTTGCCTGTTTGGTAATGGGTGCTTGAATCAGCACCTGGGTGGGGTAACAGACCAGACAAAAGTGAAGAAGCTGAGACCTGATCCAGACGAGATGGGGGTTTCTTGCCTGCCTGTGTCTTCTTGGGGTGGGGGGTACTTCACAAATAGAAGGGCAGCAAGAAGAGCTGGAAGAGGAGTTGCTCTTAGACTTTGGACGGGGGTGAACTTCACGCACGGCTGGACTTCCCTTGGCACTTTTTCCTGCCTCTTCCCTTTCACCACCCAGTGATTTGCCTTGCCTGCAGTTCCGTAATTGTTGCTACCATTATTCATGTCCTTGAGTCAGATCACTCCAATGTGTTGTGCATGGGGTGCCTTAGAAAATGGTCTGGAGACCTTATCGGGTCCAAAATAGTCCAGCATCCCATTAATAAGGACAGCGAGATACAACCCTTTTAGGTCAGTGTGTTGTGGTCTTCATTTGCTTCCATTCCTAAAAGGCTTGGGGGCAGCTTACCTGAAGGACTGTCTCCCCCAGGAATACCAGACCTACTAAGATCACCTGCAGAGAGGCATCTCTGGGTGCCCCCACCAAATGAAATAGGACAGGTAGCTGTGAAGAACAGGGAGACATTTCACTTGTAGAATCCCTTTCCCAGAGAGACTTTTCAGTGTCCGGTGCCTGCTGTTTATTTTCCCAAACATTTCACACTAGCTTTTATTACATTGTTTGCTTATATTGTATCAATTTAAAGTTTTGTTTAGTGAATCACCCTGAGTGTTTAGGTTGTTGAGTGGTATAGCACTGAAATAAATAACTTACACTTAACAAAATTTGTTAGGATACATGCCCATAAGTATAGTTATGGCAAGGGGAACTGGAACGCAGGTAAAATAACCCAAACACAAGTAAATAAACCTCACCACTTGATTTCCTTCTGTTCCTGCTGTGCATTCAGTGGTCAGCAGCTGAACATGTAGAAAACTCTGCTGAAAAGTGCTCAGGTTGAAGTGATGCAAAGCTTTCTCCTGTGGTAATATCTGGAATTCATAGGTGTCTGTGCAGGAGATCTGTGATTCAGTCTGTGTGTGTGTGTGTGTGTGTGTGTGTGTGTGTGGTCTCACATTTGAAGGCTCTGTGCCTGTTTAAATACAAGCAGGGGAAATTTCCCTGTGCTGCATTTCTTGTTTAATCTAAGTTACCTCCCTAAATCTGCTGCTAGCTCTGTAGAGTGTGTGCAGAGAAATAAAGAATCTGTGCTTATTTTAAAAAAGTTAACAGAAAAGTAAGAACTGTATCATATTTAGTTCAGGTCTCTTTGGATAATCCTTGAGAAGTTTCCACAGAACTCCAGACTTCCTGTAAAGACAGCACGGCAAATTCCCGTGTAATGGATTGACAGGGGGCGTGGGAGGCAGCAAGTCTGGCGTATTGCAGTTTAAATTTAGCAAAACAGCTTCCTTGAAAACGAGGGCACATGATTTCACCAAACCGAAGCATACATTCCTATTGATGCAGCTAAGTACTAAGGAAAGGCGTCGCATCACTTCAGTCTCACATTCCCAAGGAAACATTGGCCCAGCAGAGATTCCGTGTGCTGCCTCCCTCCCTCTTGCCGCTTCCAGTTAGTGACCTCAAAATGCCTCGTTTCTGGGTTGTTTTACGACCTGCAAACCCAGGAACTCTTGCTCGCTTAGGGGATAAACAATCCAGAGTTAACCCACCAAAAACCATGCATTATCTTTATGTTGTTTCCAGGTTCGCATGTCACAGCTGAAAGTGTCAGCCTGTAGGTGGGAACTGGCAAGGTCACCTGCCCCAGTGTTCTCACAAATGGCCCGGGATGAACAGACCGTGGGTGGTGTAATTGTATAAATGGAGTTTATAGCAACCAGTTATGCATGTATAGATGTACTCCCTGCATTTAGATGTAGTGTGACCTAAGCAGCCACTTAGGTTGCTTATCCCTTGGGGCTCTTCATCAGAGAGGCATTGCTACTGCTGTTTTCCTGCGTGTACAGTACTTCCCTTTGCCTCAGTGCTGGACCTCAGCAGCAGGTCAGAGGTGGCAGATTTTGAATCCTTTCCTGGACTCTTTCGCAGGTGTCCGGGAAGCCCACCTGCAAATAAACTACAGGCTGACCATGCATCTTCCCTCCCACTCCTTCCCCCGGGGGCTCTCCTGCCAGTATCCTAAAAAACTTGACAGCTGAAGCTGCCACGGCTCTCCCTGCCCTGCTGGCCGTCCCCTTTCAGTTTTGCGGGTCCCCCTTTCATAATCCAGTGTGGCTCTTGAGAGCTGTGGAGGGGCTGCCATTGGCAAGGATTGCGGTGGTGGGGCAGTGGGAAGGAAGCGGCAGCAGCGACTGCAGGGGGTCTGGAGTGGAGCCAGGTGGCCCGGCCAGTGGCCAGCTGGCCAAAATGCCAGGGAGTGTCGCTGGAGTAGCTGGTGCTGGCGATGGCTGGGGCACGCGTGGTGCCAGTGGCGAGGAGGGTTTGCGGCCCCTGCGTAAGCACGTCCTCCTGCGACACCTGGTGGGTTGCTGCTGTGAGAAAAAGATTGGGAGTAGGAGGAGAGTTAGGTAAGCCACACAGAGTTCCTTGAAAGGGGGAAAATGGGATATCAATACAATGAATGAATGAATGAATGTTGGGATCGATTGGTTGCCCAGGTCTAGATGGCACAGAGATGTATCACAGGCGTAGCAGCCCCTCGGAGAAGCCCTTGGTAGCCAGCGTGGCCTGCCCAAAGGGGTCCAGGTTTGGGCCGTAGGAAAACAGGACTAGTTCCTCATTTGGTTATATGAATCCTGTCCCAGCTTTAGGTACTGAGTGTTTGCAAATGCTGCTTGTTTACAACCGTGCGATGAGTTGATTGGAGTAGGATTTACCTTCATCTCATGAAACATTTACTTCTACGACAGAGATTACATTGCCTGACTTCAAGGCTAAACTGACAGTACTGCAGTTCACAGTGGGGAAAATGCTTTGGAGGCAGTTAGGCTTGAGCGCTGGTTTCCATAGAAGCAGCTTGGAGCAGGGTATTTCTATTCTTTCCATTTTCTGAGGATTTCTAACAAAATCCTCAGCTAACAGGAGGCGAACTTGACTGGTGGCGCTGGGTGCGTGGCTGCAAAGTGTTTTTAGCTACTTCTGCTCTTTCCCTGCTCCTGTTTCAAATAGAGACACCGCCTTTTGGTTCCACTCGTCTCCTGGCAGGATTCAGTGGAGTCCCTGCACAAACAGAATATTCAGGGAAAGCCAGCTGGCCAGTTGCTCATGCATCCACACAACCTACTAGATCTCAGTTGTGGGAAAGTGTTGTTCTATGATTTAATGAAAATTCTGTTAATCTGGATTTTACTGATACACCTTCTTGGGGATGAAGATGGAATACAAAGTACATAAAATAGATGCTACTCTTATCTTGTTGATCCTGTTATTTGATTGGTATTTTATACATTTGATTTTTATGTGTTTGGATTTTTTTAAAAAATGGGCCACCTTATTTTATAATTATTTATTTATTTCATTTCTCTATCAACCCACTTCCAAAGTTCTCTGGGTGGTTTGCACAGACCATAAAACCAGATGATAAGAATACAATAAAAATATCATAATATCAGGAAAAATATTAAAGAGTTTAAAACAGGCAAAAACACATAATAAAAGCATATTATTCAGCTAATCTGAAATTTACTGCCAGGTGCTTTGAGCATCTTTTTTGGAAGAAATGCAGGATAAAAACTAAAGAATATTTTTTGAACTTGCTGCTACTTGTGATTAGAGAGGCTGGATATTCTACATTTTAGTATTCCATCAATTTGATCTTCAATGTAATATGCAAATTATATGTATTTGTGGACAAACCCTGTGTGTCTGAGCATCCTTTCCTCACCACTGCAAACTCCTTAGTATTGGCTTCATAACAAAGTCAGTCCCTTAACAACAAAGTTGAATCCAGCCACTCTTGAAGCTGGTTTTTGTCCCGTGGGCTTTTTTGGCAGCAAGAAGCTTATGCTTCACTGCCTTGCGATTGGGTGCATCATTTAATAATGCAGACCCCCTAAATAGAGGACTGCCTCTCTAAGGAATCTTGACGTTGCATGCACGTTCCTCTCGGCAGCTGTCTTAAATACTGCCAGTTAATTCTGAGGAGAGTAAGTCTGTGACCATGTTGGACCCCTGTGTGTTTCTCTTGTGTTGATCATATAGCCAGGCAGTTCCTTCATGAACGGCCACTTCACTTTCTAAATTCAGATTGGCTGCCTGGGTAAGCCTATGGGAATGAAAATAATGTGGGACTTAAACTCCTATATGGAGTTAAAGCTTAGGTTCTGGGCCATACTATTGAAAGCCATTGTGATTGTAACTCTTCTTGGGAAGTACAATCCCTGATCTACTGAATAATAATTTGAAGGCCATGGTGACAGCACTCCAAAGAGGTGAGGCCAAGAATTGAGACTGGCTATATATGTGAATTTGTCTAGCTCCCTTTATTTAAGTGCTTTCTTATCTACTGATGGCTGACATTTAAGCTGGATTCTTATACTAACTTTATATTTTGTTCTTTTTCTCCAGAACAGCGAGTAGAGGTGACTTTGTGTTTTCTGCTGATCGCTTGGTAAGCAGATGTTTTTACACATTTCCTGTACTAAGCATGAGTGAATTTGGAGTTCTTTGAACTTGCAGGATATTTGGAAACCCCCGTCCTGGGAAATACCGTTCATTTGGCAGAACTGGCATCCATGTGATAATTCATAATTGGCAAATTATACATTCCTATTATGAGTCGAGGGAAAATATAATTATGAAAATGCCTCATTACCTGGCTACTGGGGTGCAGAACCTGTGGTTCGGTATTGCTTATGGCACCTCTTCCTTGGCTCCACGCAGCAATTAGTCCTTTTAAAAGGTTCCGTCAGTGCTGGTGAAAGCTTTGCAAAGTCTAATTGTTGGGTGAAGTAGGTGATTTTCTGGGGTGGGCAATTGGCGAGGGAAGGATTTGGTTTCCGATGCTGACCTTCATCCTGTGGATGCCCTCACACTTGGTTCCCTGTGTCTTCCAGCTCAGCCACATGCAACCTGGTGAACTATGACATTATAGGAGTAGTTCGTTTCTTGGGCCAGCTGTCGGAAGTAAAGCTTCTTTTCCAAAGTGGGCTTTCAAGTCATTTTGGGAGGCAGAAAGCCGTGCGGGTATATATAGGCTTGACTGTGGTGTTGCCTCCGCTGGTCTCCTTGCGCTGATTTTAATTCTTCCTCTCTTACAGATTAGACTGGTGGTTGAAGAGGGGTTGAATCAGCTCCCATACACAGAATGCACAGTAACCACTCCAACAGGTGACTGGTAGATTCTACTGAATCAGAGAAAATCTTAACAGCATGGTGGGCTTTTGCAAAGAAAAGCAAACTCCTGCTAGAGATGACTTCGTGTAGGCCAGGTTTATGGCCCGTCGTGTCACTCGCACCTGTGCCAGATTCCTGCTGGGGGCTTGACAGTCTGCCTTTTCCTGTACTCCCTGCCTGGCAATAAAACTGAATTGTTTGGCTTGGTGGGTCACAGGTTATTGGAAGAATGCTAGTGGAGTGCTCTGAACCCGCTAAAGTGCCATATAGAGTCTAGGAAACTCCAGCCTGCATCAGATTTGTCAGCAGGCACACTGTGTATCGACTGCGAAAACTCCAGGAGAGGCATTTCTGTGCTTCATTGTCTTCTGAGTGGTAGATACCAAGCAACTCTGTCCTGTGAAATAGAGAAGAGGAATCAGTGAAGAGTGGATGCTGTTGGATTTTTTTTTAAACGGCAGGACAGATCGGTACTCCTGGCAGTTGAAGGCCCCAGTCATTTGGATGACTCCTTGTCTGCAGCCAGTGTCCTGTTGAGGCATGCATCTGGCCCTAGCAAGACCTGTATTTCACCAAGTGTTGATGAGACAAAGAGAGACACCCCCCCACCACCACCGCCCATGCCATAAGCTGATAGGTTTTTTATTTTTTTGCCCCACTCCCCAAGGTTTCTTTTTAAAATCTACCTCCCTAGATCAATGTTTGTTGGAAAAATGTTAGCACGTTACATTTGCTGAGACAATAAGCTGCCCTAAACCCTTCAATCCGGTCACTTACTCGAATTTGCCTTATATTAGCCCCAGAATGCCCTTTTTGAACAGCACCTTAACCTCTGCCCACCAGTCAATGGTGAAGCGGATAAACTCGTTTAACCTTTTTGGTAACTATTGCGGAGTTCACAGCATCAGTTTCATAGTCTACTTTTGTGTTAATTCTGCAGTGAAGATCCACTTGTGCTAAAATTCTATGCCTCGCCACTGGAAGAGGAGCTGCCACCATAACGGTGCCCTTTTCCTTCCGGGAACCATGATGAAGGCACTTTCTTAGAAAGCTTCTCGCTCCTCAGGTGTGGCTGTGTGAGCATATCTCTGCACTGCATAAGGTGTGCCTGCAACTTTTATAGTGCCGTCCTGTGCGCATTTACGCAGAAAAAATTCCTGAGGAATGCTGGAAGCGTGCATGATGGTACCCGAAGTAGCTCACATATTTCCTTTTCCATCATAATACGGGGTTGTAAATTTGAGTGAAAGGAAGATGTGTTAACTCTGGAATTCTCTGTGACTTTTCAACAGGGTACAAGTACGAAGGGGTGAAATTTGAAAAAGGGAACTGTGGCGTCAGCATAATGAGAAGTGGTAGGTCACTGAAAGTGTGTGCGCTTTTCCCCGTTCCTGTATTAATAGAATAGATGACTGTTTCTCGCAGGGGTGGGACTCAGATTAGAAGCAGAGGCAGGAAATCGATGCTGGCTGTATAAGCTGTTCAGTTGTGGTTAAGCAATTGTGATTAAGAAACTGACCGTGTGAGAATCATGTAAGTGGAGGTTTTGTCCTCGTTCTCCTGGAAATGGACCCACAACACGTGTCTTACCCAGCTGAGGTGCACCCCTTGGTTTGGACGGGCTGCCACAGAACAGGCTCCCCCGCTCGATGCCTGACGCTTTCCTGTTTTTCTCCCCCCATGGAGGAGAGGCCATGGAGCAGGGCCTGCGTGACTGCTGCCGATCGATTCGCATAGGGAAGATCCTGATCCAGAGTGACGAGGAGACCCAGAGAGCCAAAGTATATTATGCAAAGTTCCCACCCGATATCTACCGGAGGAAAGTCCTCCTCATGTACCCGATACTAAGTGAGTGCCTTCTGGCTTCCGTTTTTAATTCTAAGCTGTTCGATGGCGGAGCGCTCCCTCGGAAAGGAGAGTCATCCTTGGCTTCGGCTCACCATGGGACAAGTTCTGCCAAGACGTGCGCTGGTTGGCAGAGCGCTTGCCAACAGTGGCACCTGCTTGTATGTCTAATGATGTCAAATAAATGTCATTTGACTCACTGGCGTGCAAACAAGCGAGTGTTGAGAGTAGCTAGAAGAGCTGGAGCACATCCGAAAAGTGAGAGAAGCGTTTCACCAACGCTTAAACGGTCCAGTTGTTCTGTCTGAGTTCTGAGCTTTGTTAGTCCATGTAAAAAAAATATAACTCACATTTTATTACGATCCGAACCTGCATTGCAAGCTGGTGAAGCTTCTGTGGAGTGAAGCCCTAATCCTAAACACACTCCTTGGGAATTACCGGGATCATTATACCAGCAAGCTGTGTAGGATCAAGAAGTGAGTCGTGGCGGCCGCTCATTCTGACTTCCCTCGTACTTACAGTCTGGTATTAGCCGGGGGGGAACCTCTGATGGGGTCTGGGCTGCAGTACAGTGGATGCTCTTTCGCAGAAAATCTGAATCAACCCTTGAGGTCCATCTGGCCCAGTAGCTGCTCGGCAGGATGATGTGGGTCGTGACATAAATGGTCTGAGAAGACAAGTACGAGAAATGTACTTCGTTCCCTCTTTTCTTCTTCTTTTCCCATCTCAGGCACTGGCAACACTGTGATTGAGGCTGTCAAGGTTCTTATAGAACATGGAGTCCAGCCAAACGTCATAATCCTGCTGAGTCTGTTCTCCACGCCCCATGGTAAGTTAAAGCAACAGGGTGAACTGAGGGTCAGACAAAGCAGGCTGAGCTGGTTTGGATCCTTCAAGCACTTCTCTTCCCCACCTGGCTTACTGCACGTGGCCTGGGAGACGAATGCCTTCCCAGTGGCCTTGTGCACATTGAGTCCATGGCAGTTCCAGCTGGTAACACAGGCAAAGGTGGAAAAGCCAGAGAGGGGTGAGCACTTCAGCCAAGCACTGAGTTTCTGGTAATTCTGCAGTGACCCCTGATGGCCATTTCAGGCTGTGCTCGCTGGTTCAGAAGCAACTACCTGCCTTCTACTTTGTAGTCCAGTAAAGGCCTGCAACTTCCTCTGCTCAGGATAGAAGTTTTGGATATGATCTAGGTGTGCTTATGATTTAGACCCACTAAAATCAGCTGGACAGGTTTCCACAACTAACCTGTCCTGGTGATTTAAGCATGCGTAACCACTGAATCAAACCCAGGGATTTTTTGCCATAAGCAACGGTTGAATAATTGGTTTGTTAAGGCAAAACTGCAGGATTCAGTGTAAACTGATAGCCCAAAGATAAACGCAAACGTTATGAGCTGGGTGTCCTTATAAGTCTGCCATGCGACTTATCAAGGCCCAGGTGTGGGGTAAATTTTTCAGCTGCTGGTTCAGGAAAGGCTACCTTGAATTCCTGCTGTGGAGCGAATTGATAGTGTAAGCTGCAGCCTTCAAACATGGAGCTGGTCCACACAACAGGGCAACCCACCGTATGCCTCTCCCCACAATAGGCTGCCATGCAGACCTGGACCAGTTTCCGCGGGATACCTTATTGTCTGTCAGAACACCAAAGGCTTGGGGTTGCTCAGAGCCCTGTGGGTGCTCATGTTCTCCACAGCCAGAGGAGCGATTTTGCCATGGGTCGCCGGGGTTGCCACAGAGCTGCTAAAGGGCCCCAAACGCCTTTTGCGTTCTTGCCCTTCCATGAATGCCGAAATGCCACTTTGGAAGGATTGTCACTTGTTCCTCGGATTTTTTTTTTTTTTAACTGCCTCCAAAACGCACAACCAGGGTTGTAATTTTTAAAATTATAACTCTTTGTTGGTCTTTTGCACATGCAGCTGTTTAGGGGTGTGGTCTTTGTGCCTGAGCATGACTTGAATATCTTGGCAGCACATCGGTATTTTACATTGCAAAGTGCTGTGGAGGAGAGAGAGAATTTGAAAAGAGCATGGGCAGGGAGAGACGCTGCTCAGCGCATGTAATTGAGAGGATCGGATGAAACCTGCGTGTATTAGATAGGTTGATCCTAAATAAGGAAAAAAGCAGGCCAAACGCAGAGGGCAAATGTAGTTTACAGGGATGCGGTCTTCAGTCACTTTCTTGTCTCTTTTTTAAAGGTGCCAAATCAATAATCCAGGAATTCCCAGATATCACAATTTTAACAACAGAAGTTCATCCTGTCGCGCCCACTCATTTTGGACAGAAGTATTTTGGGACAGACTGAAGTACTTAACCAGTTTGTGTTTTGTACTGTATGATATGACTATACCGTTTTTCTACGTTTTATAATTTAAAGTGGAGATATCCATGGATATATTTAACATCTCTCTCTCTCCTCTCTCTCTCTCTCTCTCCCCCTCTCTCTTTCTTTTATTTTTTTTAATTTTTTTTGCCAAAGGTGAAAATACTTGACCTAGGCCATTTTTTATTATTTATAAGGAGAAATAATTGGTCTTAAGTTCATGTGTTATTTTAACAATGAGTTGAGGGCAAGGAACCACATCCGGCTACGACTAATAATGAGTATGTCCAAATTGCTGCATTCATACTTCCTTTTATTTATTCTTTGTCGCCAATTTTGAGTGGCTGCTTGCAACTGTAAAATAAAGTAACTGTGAAGGCACCATTGCCTGCCCCTCTAATTACTTAGTGCTTATGACCAACTGGAGTTTTTCAGAAGAGACTGGTGTTTCTCCAGGAGGAGTGGCCCTACCCACAGAGCTGCTGTAGATTTTCAACCTGTGCTGTAGTTACACAACCAAACTGTGCCCTCAATCCAGAGCGTGCTGTGTGTAAGTCACTCTGATATTTCAGGGCACATCCCGAAAGTGGCAAAACAGTGTGATGTTGGTGAGAGCAACAGCTTCATCTGCTGTATTCTCATATTTGCATTGTTCCCTTGACGCGTTTATGCAGAATGGGGGTCTCTTGACTGGCTATTTGGAATTGAGGCCTGAGAGTCCCGATTGCCGTCTCTGCAATCGATCCCGCAGCAGCACTTGAAGGCTCTGTGGTGCGATTCTGTGTAGGCCCCGCCACTTCCAGCGTTTCCCAACCAGCCATGCAGGCTGGGGAATGCCGAGCATTCTGAGGTCTGTCTTTCTGCAGCTTTCAGCATAGGAGCAATCATTACCCGCTGAACTTGAAAGCCAGCAGGAGGATTGAGTTGGATTTCAAGTGGCTGGAAGTTGGGCTGTTCTCGCCACAATTAGCAAAGCCAGGAAAATTAGGATCAGCATACTAAAAATGGCAGAATAAATTCTGCAAAACAGGACACATCGTTCAATTTATGCAGGATACAGAATTCAGTGTTCCTTCATACAGAACTTCCTGAAACAGGTAAAGAGATTTTACTTCACGTTCTGCCAGAGGAGTCTGGTAGAAATGGTGGCAGTGGGAAAAATTGGCCTGCAAGTATGGAGCTTCTGAATATGTGGAAGGCAAGTTTTGGAAGGCTTTGAGTAATGCGCTGGTGCCCAGATTGAGTGAGATTTCTGTGCTCTAAGAATATCCACCTGAGCATAATGCAGTGATTCTACTTTGCTCTGTGCCTTCCAGCTCTTGTGTTCTAAGCACGCAGCTCATCTGACTCATGTCATGGGCCTCCCTTAATCCAACAGTTCTTAAAATGATTTTGATACTTCACTAGCCCTCTGTGCAGATGGTGACAGGTTCTTCTTTTGAAAGACTCAGATTGCAGGAAAGAAAAAAAACATGCCCAGACAAAACAAAACTCTTGAACTTTTATCAGCTCTAAGCATTTGGCACCCAAATAGAAATTTGTATAAAGCAGCTGTGAGTCCCGTTCCTTCCTATAAATACACCAGCTGTGTCATTGCATCCACATAACTTCTGTGCATACCACTCTTGGGAGCTGCTTCAAAGCTCTCCGGGCATCTGACATATAAAATACTGCAGCCGGGCTTCTTTTAATAGTGTGGATCATAGCCTTTGTTACTTCTGCTGTGCTGTTTACATGAGTCTACTGTTGGCTTCAAAGGTGGTGCTCCGTAGGGGCTGCTGCCTATGCAAGGTGAGAGTATTTCTCTAGCAATAACCTTCAGGTACCCGGAACATAAGTTGTAACTGCTTAATAGTAATGGAATTTGATGCGGGCAAATGACAAGCTACAACTGCACCATGGCAGACTTAGAAGAAATTTACCTGCACAGTGGGGAGTGTTATGTTTTGAATGGACACCAGTTGACTGAAAAGCCAGCTGAACTACTTGACATGAAATGGTCTTTGTTTTCTTTATCTCTTAATGTTTAACCTCAGTGGGTCTTTTTCATAAGGAAGGCTGACCCCGTCGCCAGCAAAACCATGCCGTCCGCATATTTCTGGCTTGGGCAGATGCAGTACTTCAAAGGCAAATGGTTTAATGGCTCATCGGGCCCTCATCTGCTTAATTCTAATAATCATCACTCTTGAACATATTGTGTGACTAGGAAGTACTTTGAGATAATTGGAAGCTACCATCACACGTATAAGGAAAAGCAGAAGTACTAGTAGTAGGAACTCTTGTGGTATGCTTGAATCCAATCCAAGAAACAATGCAAGCAGTTTGCAAATGTATTATAACAGATTTTAAGTCATATTTGAAATACATCCTTTCAGCTTGGTTCTACAAAATATTTTTATTGCAAAAGACTTCCATGCTTAAGGCTACAACAGAAGCACTAGCATACACGTTTCAAATGAACGAACCTGAGATAATGCAGTCGTTTGACATTCAGGAGGCCCAAAGTGGCCTTTTCTTTAATGAATATAGGTACAGACGCTGCGAGAAGGCTTCGTCTTGGGGGGAGATAGTCCTGTTTCACGATCCTTAATTGCAGGCCCTTTCATACACTTAATACTGTAAAATGAAATGGCTAAATTGCACCTCCTGAAGCATCCATTAAATAATTGGGCCTTGATTACTCTAGAAGTACATAAAACTACAGCATGGAAGCAATCCTGACAATGAACGGAATAATTAATTGTGCACAATGAATGTACCTGACTCTTGTCCCACTGACTATCGAAAAAGCGATGCCATGGAAAAAAGTTGGGAAAGGAACCGTGCAAAAAGCTGCCACTTCCAAGATTCCTAATAAATAATTTCTTGCAAATGAAACATCAATGCTGTGGTGCTGGTCATTTGTTCACTAAAACAGCAACAAAACACTAATTGGGGTAACAATTTTCACTGGAAAAAAGTCAAGCTGGGTCCTCCAGTTCGTGAACAGCCGCTGGAGGTACATGCAAACGTGAAGGGAAGCGCTGTTTGGGTAGGAAGAACTACCTGTAATATTTGATCAGCTATTCTCCATCAGAAATGTTAAGCACAGTCTTAAATCAGGAAAACGGAACACTAAAGACCTTTCTTTGACGCCTGTTCAGATCAGAGGAAGAGCTGAGACTGCAGCTCAGCTGCATTAACTGGAAATCTAGCTGTTCCCTGATGCTCGGTTCTCTGCCCCAACTCTGCTCTTGTCACGAGAAGGCAAAGCCACGCCACGCTCCTGACACTTCAGTCCAGTCCTCTTCATTTGATGACGGAGCAGCAAGAAGCTCAAGCAAGATCGTCCTTCCATTAGCCATGGCAGTCAATGCTTTATCCCTCTTAATATGCTTGCACACTTTAATTTAAACCATTGTGCCGGAATTTGGACAGACCGAACCCTTGACGTGTCTGCAAAGCAAATGGTGGTGGGAAGGGGGAGAAGAGGAGGTACGGTGACCTTCCAAAGCCACCCCATTTCTGCTGGCCCGTTCCAGCAGTGGCTTGGCAAACGCCCTCCTCAGCCAAACCATGTTCGGTGCCCCCAGAATTTGCCGTCCAACCCAGCAGTGACTTCCTGTGCCGCTGGCTTAAAGGTGGGTGGGCTTCGGGGCCCTGATGGGAAGAAACTCGAGGATCAGGGGAACTGGTTGCTGTGAATCCCGGCAGCGCCAGTGCAATTCGGCAACACCTTCTCCCCAAAGTGGGCAGAAACAACCTTTTTCATTGCAGATATTCCAGGTATTGTGCCAAGTAGAAAAAATGTGCTTTTTGTCTATGCCTCATCCAACAGGGATACCATCCCATAGATTCTGCATAAATAAACCAACTTACTAATTGACTCTTACACACTCTGGCATGCAATGAGCGCTATTTACCGATCAACCCGGTGTTCTATCCAACATTATTATTCTGTGCTCTGCAGATACCTACCGTCCTCTCTGGATTACCCTAATTAACCAGTGTCCCCTAATTAACCATAAAGGAAGTCAACCCTGACTGCTCTTTAGAAGGACAGATACCGAAGCTGAAGCTCAAATACTTTGGCCACATGAGGAGAGGGGAGGGCTCATTGGCAAAGACGCCGATGCTGGGGAGGTAAAAGGAGAAGGGGACGGCCGAGGACGAGATGGTTAAATAGTGTCAGTGATGCAATGAACATGAATGTGGGTGAACTCCAGGAAACAGCGGAGGACAGAGGTCCTGGGGTGTTACGGTCCGTGGGGTTGTGAAGAGTCGGGCACGTCTGTGACTGAACCACCAGCACCACCCTAATTAGCCAGTGAATGTGCAGTGCCCTAGTTCGTTAAACAGTAGTTCACCGTGCACCACCACCACAGGCATCCACGGGATGCCTCACACTGCCAGCCAGAGCAACGCACTCTGTGTGTCATGGCCGTGTAATGATCACGAGGGACCACTTCTGCTCCACTTCTGAGGAATTGATCGGATGGGAGCTGCCCATCTGCTCCCTTTCCAGGGGATGGCAATTCGACACCCCTCAGTTGCTCTCACTGTGTCCGCACCGTGCCGCCTCCACGCACCTTGGCTGAACTAGGGCAACAGAACCCCTGCCCGAAAAACAGGAACAGGGTGGCAGCTCTCTGGGTCCATATGAGGCGCAATTTCATACGCAACAGAAGGCAGAGGTGGTGGAGAGCACAGCTTATGCCACCCATGGAGAGATGCAGCCTCACATTTTGCAGCACAGGGAAAATTTTAGAAATGAATCAGGATTAGAAGGCTAAGGAATCCAGGGAGTTTGGCATTGCGATTAGATTCCTATATGTTCTATTTAGAGAAACACAAGTAGTGCTTTATATTTCCATGAAAATTCCGAAGATCTGGAAGGGGCTGCTATACCCCATCTGGCGGCAGCTACCATGCTGGCTAAAGCGGGCCATGGGCGCTCATGCGGTCTGCCCGCCATGGACCAGGAGTGCCCCTCCGGCACAGCCCGTCTTCTGGGAGCATGCGAAAGAGGCACGTTAGAGGATCAGTATGCTCCACAAGGTTCAAGAAGCAAAACTGACATGGATTTTTTCCCTTCGAGTGGATGCTTTTCATACCCACTTCTAGTTCTTGGTGGATCTTGAGGTTCCAGTAAAAAGCAGAAAAGCTCAGGGAAGCCTGAAGGCAGCCCAACGCCAGTTGGCACAGAACTGATGTCCCAGGAGCTGGACTGAGATAACCCATCAGGTGTTCACACACCAGAAAAGCCTCTCCTGAGGTCTGGGCAAATACAGCCTGGCATGTTTTGTTCCTGTTTGTGCATGATGTCCAGCCCAACTGCAACCGCCACGCTGAACCTTTCCAGACATAAGGAGCAATTCTAAAATTTCCCAGTAATTGCACTTCACTACCTTTTAATGTTTCATTGGCTTGGAATCAATGTCCAAGCGGGGTTTTCTGACCTGGCCTGTTTAAATAAAAATTAAAGCATATTGGCTCCATAAGGAAAAGGAGGGGGAAAGAGTTCAGTCACAATAGCAAGCAAATCACAAATTTTAACACCACAGTTGGCATTCCTGTTTGGAGAAGAATATAAATGTAATGTATGAAGGCCATACGAATGTCCATCAAGTATGCATCACAGAGATGATACATGGAACTCGTTTCTGAACAGACATATCTGGAATGATAACACTTACTTGTAGCAATTAACATCCCACAGATAATCCAGGGAAAGTGAAAACTAAAGAGTCCCATTGAAACAAACTACACAGATCCTTCGGGTGAGTTTTAAACCCACTTCATTTTCTCTACTTTGTCTGTCTTCCTTTTGGAAGAGACGTAGTATTGAGTCTGGACCCTTCTGGAGGCAACGGCCTCATGTTTGAGACTAAACATGTTGGGCCAGTGAAAGGAGCAACCCCTGAAATGAGAGCCCAAGGTCTCACTTAACATGGCGAAGCGTCAGACAAAAGCATTGCCCTGTACACAGAAATCTAGCATGTCAGGATGATGGCTATGTTAGAACCTTTCCTCCTGACCTGCTGCTTCTTTTTGTGAAGGGAAGCTTTTGTATGCAGGAGCATTCAGCCAGGGTGGCTACCTTGGCAAGTATTGGGCTGTTGTTGTGAACGATTTTGAGTCTGTACTAATGGATTTCAGTCGACAAAGGTCTCTGGGATTGTCGGCTTTTGCAACAAGGGTTGTGCTTTCAAGCTCCGTGTAAAGTCTTTGCACTGCATCAAAGAGGCTGTCTTTTCAGACCCGAAGGGATGAGAGTTCGCAGCAGAATCAAAGTTATGGATTAAGGGAGTGAGAATAGCAATGGGGGAATTATATACAGGCTTCGTATGCGGTGCATATTCACCTAGATGTCTAACGAGATTAGTTGATTTTGCAACCAGGATTCCTGCTGAAAAGCACTTGTCTAAGTAGCCCAGTGAACCATCTGTCTGCTCCTTATTAGAGGACCAGTCGTTCTAGCTGGCGGGATCAGACATAACGTGAAGTCCAGGCTGTTAGGTAATTGCCATTAAGACGTTTGGAAATGGATCTGCACCGACAGTTTTCACTTATTCTGAACAGCACATATAAAAGGGGAAGGGTCTGAGTGAGCTTCGTTGCTCCAGTATTGCCCTGCTGGCCATCAGTGGTGTGTGGGAACCCTCAGAAGCACCAGCAAGGCAAGCATCCCGAAGAACCATTTCAAAGAGCTCGGCTTGCATCAGGCAGTGGTGCTTTCCTGGTCTGGAAAGTCCTCGTGCCCCTTTTCCTTTTATTCTCCGCAAGTGTCCGTCGCTGAAGGAAGCAAACGAGAGAGAAGGAAGCTGAAATTCAAGAAGGTCGGGGGGAGAGCATGCCATGTGAGTGAGTCTAGATGAAGCCATTTATTTTCCTCTAACAACCGAACTAGACATGATGTTGCAGTTCCCTGCATGAACTGGCACATTCTTGAAAAAATGGAGGTAATGCTCGGGGAGGGGTGGCAATTATGAGAACTGCAGCAGGCTCTTAATCGCGTCTTCCTCTGCTGCGGTCCTGATGCAAGATGCTTCTCTGGGGCTGCTCCTTGTGCTGCTGGGAAATCTCCCGCTGGTGCTGTAGAGCTAAACCCTGAGCTGAAGAGGGGATTATGGAAGGAGAGCAGCATGCGTCTCGCCTCACTCTTAGGGCAGGGCTGGAAAATGTACGGAGCATCTCGCTGCTGTCAGAAACAGCCGTCCATGGTCCAGGTTGTTGTGAACCACTGAACCACCTGAGTGAAGAGAGGGCGGCTGAACAACCCGGGGTAATTTGCCGCAATGTACAAATCTGGAATGCTGGCTTGTCTCCCCCTCAACAAGCCAGAGCTGGAACCTACTGGGGGAGAGATGAGGCACGATTCCTAGCTTGCGCGGCATGGTGAACCAGCGTGCAGCCGCTCCAGCTCCCGGCAGGTGTGATAGAGCGACGCAAACTGGCACTCACTCGTCCATGACAACCCAGGGTTTACAAATCCTGGGTTGTCATTCTTTTCAGACTGGGTCTGTATCTCCTTTCCACTCCCTCCTTGTGAGCAAAGGTGATACGATTGCATTTTCTCATTGCCACTCACAAGAGTGAAGAAAGCCAGTGCAATATCCTATTAAGTTGGGGGACGGCAAGGAAGAGCAGTGTTACTGTTTTTGGCTTGCTCTGCTCTTAGATTGTGTGGCTGCCGCTGGTGCCGCTGGTCCCCCAACCAGCAATTTAGAGAAGCAGCAAGCAAAACAGGCGAGTGAGTCCCAATTGGTGGGGCATCCGAAAAAGGACTCCCGCTGCAGTGTGCCACAGACACATCACTGACACATGTGGTTGTGCTTAAATTAGTCCTTGTATTCCCCCCATCCAGCAAGCAAACAGCAATAACAAAGACACATCTCTTAATTAAAATGGGAGCATATCTCCACATGTTCTCAACAACATTCACAAGCAACGCCATGCCTAAGCGTTTCGGCTTCCCTAGCCTGCGCTTGTGTTTCTGCGATCAGGGCGGAAACACATGGAGCTGCCCCACTGAGGCTGTTGCAAAGGATGGCATACAACTGTCTTAAATAAAATAATAAAATAATACATTTCCTGATGCTTCGACTTTAAAGATGGAGGCTTTGCTTCAGATCAGGGCGACTGTGCTGGGGGAGAGGAATTTACCTTCCAATCTCTGCTGTTAACACCTGAAATCCGCCTTTCCCCAGCTTCTATTTAACCCACCAGCAGCACAACGGCTGTGACGTCCATTCAGGTGTGGCACATGCAATGAATTTCGGAGCTCAGGATTTAATTCTAAGCATGTGGAATTTGCACTAGCCTTCAGCTGGCAGCTCCTGGGCCTCCAGCAAATGTTGCAAGCGTGGAGTCTGCCCTCCCCAGCTCTGGCATGAAGTATAAGATGCCCTTCCCAGAAAATAAAACCCCTCTACGGTGGTCTGTCCATGAGGCGGCCCAGGGCTCTGAGAACTCAGTATGCCTCCCAAGAGGTCCAGGTGTCGTTCACACTCCGGAAACAAAGCCTGGTCCAAAGTTGCCGCCAAGATTTTCCTTTACCCTGAGGATAAAATGCTTACCCGAGAAGAACGAGCTCTGTGCTGTCAGCCTTTCAGGGATGCTACGTCTCCATTTCCACAGAAAGGGAAGAAACTTGCAGGCGATCTAGACCACAAACAGAAAATTTGTGAGGCTTGCCTACAGGCTTGCCCATTCTTCGGAAACCCTTGTCTCTTTGAGAATCCCCACCGGGCCAGTGAAGCCCTGCCATAACCAGGCTGGTTTTTAAGGGTCCACAAGAGCCGTGTGTGGCCCCCTGTGGCGGCCACCATCCTCGACTCGGCGGGCCAGGAAAGGTCCAGGCATCCTCACCGGGGTTGTCGTCCTCCAGCCGGTCGTCCTCCCATTGCTCCTCGTTCGCGAGCAGCGGATTCTGGGCTTCGTTCAGCCGCCTCCTTGGGAAGGAGTGTCCGTCCCCCTTGCTGTGGAGACAGGGCGGCACGGCGGTGAGGGATGCAGGCCCTGTTCAGCCCACCAGATTGAAAAGCGGGGAGAGCCAGCCCCTGGGCTGCTTGGCCAGCCCTCTGTGGCCGCACAGGGCAGGACACCCAGTCCTGCGGGTGCTGCTGAACAGAACAGATCCGGCTTTCTTCCCGCAGGCCTGGTTCTCCCTCCGGCCCTGGGAGCAGCTTTCTCTCCGCTTACCTGGACACCACAGGGAACAGCCAGAGCCTCTTTTCCTCTCCAAACACTTGTTGAAGATTTTGGACGAAGCCCAGGTTGAATCCGTTCTTATCCGGGCCGTTCAGGAACACTGGGGCCGAGAAAGCCTCTGCACAGCAAAGACAATGGGGGAGTTGCAGTCTCCTTCCTGCTCTCCTGACCTGGGCAGTCAGAAGTAAGCTGGGACCACGCAATGCCAGGCGGCGCTTTCCCCGGTGCGCAAAAGCCAATTCGGCACGTTTTGTCTCCTGCCCCAATGCCCCACGTAGCACAGAAGCACAGCTCGTGAGACACGCCTAAGAGAGGCCTTGCCAGGAACCCCAGGAATTAATCCAGCCTTATATCTAAATGAGCAGGTCGCAGTGACACTAACCAGAGCAGCCTTCCCCAACCTGGTGCCCTCTAGATGTCTTTGGCAGCAACAGCCATGCTGGAGGTTGCAATGTAACACACCCGGACGGCATCAGGTTGGGAACAGGCTGCGGCTAAAGCCAAGACCCTCTGGGGAACTGCAGCACTGCCGATCGGAGCACCTGGCCTGCCACTCCAATCCCCAGGCACATGGGCAGAGTTAGCATGCAAGATTAAAAGAGGAGGAGGCACGCTCCGAAAACAATCTCAGGGCTGAGAGGATCCCAGCCAGGAGCACAGGATCCCAGCTGGCTCGAAAGCAAGGTGTATTCCTAATTTTATAATTAATTCAAGCATTCTTCTCCCCACCAGCCATCCCGAAAAAAGCCGTGTGCAGGATCTTACCCAGTGTAGACCTGTTTTGACTGACGAGCAAGCAATGGTAGCCAAAGAGAAACATGAGGCTCACGAAAAACATGATTGCCACAAACAGAAGGAAGAAGATGTGGATCTTGGAGCGTCCACTGCTCAGTTCCCCCTGTGGAGAAGAGCCAGAGCAGAAGGAAAACTCAGCACGATTACAGAGTCAGTGTCTTCTTTCTCACTGCTTCTCATCAGGCACTCAGGGAAGGTTGTGACGTTCACACAGCCGGACTGAAGACACGTCCCTTTCTGAATGAAAGGAGCTCAGGGCTGCAGAAACCCAGTGAGAGGACCCCCACTCCAAGGAGTCCACAATGCTGCCCCAAGCCGCGCCGAACCGCAATCGGTGCGGAAACCTCCCCTTGTGTTCTCCTTTTCATGGGTCCAGAGAAGCCTCGCAGGCACAGAAAGGCACTCCTTGCACAAGGCAAACCTGCCAAATTCTGCTGGTCCTTCGTCCTAACAGTCCCGGGGTTCCCTTGACCCTCCATAGTGGTATCTGGCGGGGCTCATGGGGCTGTGATGGGGTGTGGGGGGGGGGGAGAAGCCAGGTAGGCCCTGCTGCAGAGGGGGGCTCTGCTCACCCCTGTTTAGAGAGCCCCTTCGGACTGCACTGTGGCAGGTCCACCATAGTTACCTTGGAAGCCCCTTCGAAATTTTTAAATCATCCTGGATTACTGCAGACAGCACAATAGCCCATGTTTCTACAGCAATGCCACAGTTCAAGGACAAGCCACATGTAACCCCTGGGCATGTGTCACTGTGTTGACCGAACCCAGTCGGAACGTCCCAAGCCAGAGCAGATGGTCAGGAATGCCTAAAAAGTAGCCAGATTCCAAAACTTACTGTCCAATACTTGATGAAATACTTGAGGACTGTTGCCGCAATATACATGCAGTACAACAGAGAGTATGCTAAAAACAGTAGGAAGAATTTGTAGTTAGAAAATCCAATGCAGTTGTTCACCCTGGAGAAGAAGGGATTGAAAACAAAAATGGATTCAGTGTGACGGAGCCAAGGAGAAAGCAAAAACCACAGAGAGCCGTCCGATTGCCTGCATGGGGCATCATGCACCTGCCATCCGCCCCCTGGACAGTCCCCGAGAACTTGGCCATGATCCCAAGCAGCCCGGTCTCTTTGCTGTCCAGTCCCAGGCAGGAAACACACGCATCAAAAGCGTGCTTGCCCTGCGTCTTGGGGACAACCCCCCTCACTTCTGCACGACCTTCAGATCAAAGCTCAAATTGGGAGTGTTCCATCAGGAGGGCTGAGTCTGTGGTGCACGCCAACAGGATCCTGGCGCTCCACAGCTGCTCACCCCGGGAAACCTTTCGTTTTGGGGCACAGCGAGGATCAGCATCACCAAGCAGTGGTTTTCACATTGAATGGCTTCTATCCAAATCACTGGGAAATCCGCCTCACGCGGAGAGGACTCCACTCAACTCATGTATTAGCCGAGGGCAGTGAGTGACTAGGAACACTCATGCTAACCCGCCCTCCATGGATCCTGTGAACATCACAGGGAAACACTGCCCAGGACGTGGGCCACCTGACGAGGCTCCTTTTCCCAGAAGCCAAAGCAGCCACTTGACGCTACTTACCACGGGCAGTGATGGTCCATTTTTAGCACGCACCTGCAAAAGAAGAAAAGGGTCAAGATACAGCAAGGGGAATCCTCGCAAGAAGAGAAATGCTTATGCATCACTTTTAGTTGGCGCTGTTCAAAGCATCAGGCCCTTTTTCTCTTTTGGGATGCGAGACTGGACAAGGACTCACTTCAAGTAGTGGAATGGCAGTGCCATATTTTTAAATGTTTCCCCACGTAACCGTCTCCCTGCGGGGGAAGCCTGGCATGTCCAAGAGGAAGGTCCTAGCCCAGCCCAGCCTCCACCCTGCACGAGTTGTAGACGCAGACTTCTCCAGTACACTTACATAGCACAAACTGAACAATGATGGCACCGGTCCGGTTTGATGAGTTGGCACCTATCACAGAATCGGATGGCTGGAACGAAGACAGGCTATTAAGAACAACATTGTGCACTTGAGTTCCATTTATTTACCAGGCGGCATTAAGCAAGCACCTGTTTTCTTAGCTTCACCTCCACCTGCTGCACATGCTAAGTAGGGGCCCAGTCATACTGGCCTGCCGTGAGGACAAGAATCCCAGGACAGCCCTGCTGGAACAGGCCAAAGGTCTATTCAGTGCAACGTTCTGGCACATCAGTCGCCCACGGGATCCCTCAAGCAGGATGGGTGCAAAGTTCCCGCCTGCCCAAGCTCCCCAGGGACAGGTATACACTGGCAAGCTGCCTCTGGTACCAGAGGGGTCACAAAGCCATCAGGAAGAGTAGCTCTTGTGCCGCCTCCTCCTCCAGGAATTGGTCCAATTCCTTCTTTAAATCCACACAAACTTCCGGTGGCAGGGAATGCCATCGTTTTACTATGCACCGTGTGAAGAAGTCCTTCCTTTGACCTGTCCGGCTATCGGCTCCATGGAATGACCCCACTGAGCTCTAGCATGATGGACGGAAATCTCTCCACCCCCCGGCCGCTGACCTCCGTTCCCCGTCCTCGTGTACACCGGCAGCTTCTGCGCCATCTCGGCCAGGATTTGCCGCTGCGCCTCGGGCCGCTCTTCGTTCTCGTAGCGCTCCTTGTCAGAGTAGGACATGTGGAACTGAGAGGGGAGAGATGCAGTTATGCCCACATGGGGGGGAAGCACCTCGCCAAGCCCCCGTGCCTGTATGATGGAACGACCATGGCTGACCAAGGAGGCAGACAGGGCAGGGCATGCAGGCCACCACCAGCAAGGCCCCGGGACCTTCCCCCGCCCTCAGCATGCCCCTCTCCTGCAATCCTGGGGCCTGAGGTGCAAGCCAGCCCGGTAGCGCCCTCCAAGCTGCGCAAGAGCCATTGGCCGCGATCCATGTGATTCCCACCACTCCGCTTGCCTCCCGCAGCCAGCCACGGCCTCTTCTCCGTTGCTCTCGGCCGACGAAGCCAACGGCCCGTGTGCTGTTGGCTGCTCTTCGGTCGCTTCTCCCACCGGGGGCTTCCTGGTCCTTACCTTTTTGTCTGGCTGCTGCGGAGGAGTAAATACAGACTTCCAGTACGTCCATATGAAGAACACGAAGATCACGTGGAACACAATGAGGTAGGCCACTAGAGGAGGAAAAGCACTCTTGCAGAAACCGAACAGCAGCACTGGTTACCACCACGCTCTTCCCTTCCCTGCTTGGCTTCCAAGCGTTTCTGTTAATATTACGATTGTCCTTACTTATGCTCTGCCTGTGCCCAGTGTGGGGCCCCAAGGCGGCTTGTGGCGGCCCCCCAGGAATGTCAGTTTTACTCAGTCTTGGAGGCAATTCCAGTCGGTCCTACAAGCCTCAGTGGCAATCCCAGGTGAAATGGGCCAGGCAAGAAAACTGGGCCTCTTTCTGAGCCCCCGCCTACCCTACGGAAACAGCCAAGCCATCTCATGCGGGACCATCACAAAGGAGGATGTCCATGGCGGCTTTAGGTGCTTAACCTCGGAGCAAAACCCACAGACTGGCACCATCGCTTCATTGCCATGACTCACGTCCCGGCATCTCTCCTGTGATGAGGGCACGGTTTCTGTTCACAAGACAGACTTCCTGCCCCCGCTGCCCAGCCCTTGCACCCCCTCCCCACATCTGCCCCTGGAAGCTGAAGGACCCCGGCGGTGGCACAGTGTGGCCTCACACAAGCTGGTGCGCTGCAAATGTGCTGGGAGCAATTCCCATCATCCTTAACCAGTATGCCTGGCCATGGGAGTCGTAGGCCAAGACACGTGGAAGGCTTCTGTGGGGGCAGGTGCTGCAGGTGGAGGAGAGAACCAGCCGGAATGATCCCTTGGCCTTATCAGAACAAGCCAGTGTCTTTATGAGTGTAGGACATGGAATAATCAAGTCAAGCTGCGACAACCCAGGTCCAGGCTAGATATCAGGGAAAGCTGCCTCTCTGTCAGAGCAATACGACAGCAGAACCAGCTGCCTGGGGAGGCGGTGGGCCCTCCTACCCCAGAGACATTCGAAGCAAGGCTGGATGGTCATCGGAGAGGGATGGCACGAACTGGTGTCCTGCAACAGCAGGGGTTGGACCCAACGGCCTCCCTGGCCCCTTCCAGCTCTACTCTTCTATGCTTCTTCCACAAAATCAGCAAAGCAAGCCAGTTCCTCCGTGCAGGGGGCTCTGAATATCTTCTCCCACTTTTACAGAACAATAATTTGAAATAAGACCAAGACACAAGGATAAGGTGTCATGAATATGCACTTACCTCTTTCTATGGAGTTGGTCAGAGTCACTGAAAGAGAAGATGGCAACACACTTAACACGCAGGGGCTCCTGTGAGGCTCTCAAACAGTTCCCATACAGAAACTGCACTAAGGACACGCACAGGCGGCACCAAGGTTAAACAAGAGGAACTTGCATGCTAATGCTCACATTTATAATGAGGCATCACCAGTTCTACAGCATTAATATTCATTGTATCCCTGGAATTAGCTTTTCATGGGAAGGTAGTTACTTGCTTCAGTTTTTCTGCATTTTCCATGGCGACAAAGTATATTTTGGCTTGGCATCTTAGAGATTGTTCATCTTCTCTGATGTGCTCAAGTGACATTTTATGGCTGCCCACAGATTTACAGAACTATTCTATGTTACAACACAACAAGCACAGACACACACACAAATGTGTTATGTTCTCATGCAGATCATCTGAGGAACTGGCTACTTTGATGCAGGGAGCTGAAACTCAACAAATTTAACCTTGTGCTTTAAGAAAAACACCTTTGAAAAAAGTTAGGCAAACATAAAGTGAAACTTTTTTAAAATACTGAAAAATCTGCAATTCATTGAAGGTCAACCAGCCTAATGATTATCATTACACTGCTGAATTTTCTAAATACCCTCTCCCTGCCCCGAGATCCACTTGCAAAACATACATCCTTCATGGAAAGATCTACGAAAAAGGAATGAATGCTTTGATGTTTCTCAGAACAACTGACGCTGGTGTTCAGCTCCAGTGACTTTCAAACAGAATCATTCTTCCAACCACAAGAATTTGGTGTTGTTTCTTATCACAGAATGAGATTTTCTCTTTGGAAAAAGCTGCCTTCTGCCCGGTCATACAAATGATAAGAAAATCAACTGAAAAATGAACCTCCTGGATTCCAGAAGCTGAACCCATTCGAGAAACACAAAGGGGGATTTTGTTGGTTAAATCCAAAAATGACTCCTTTTTCACAAAGGTGACACCAGCCCGAGTCCACAGTCGCCAGGAGAACAGTGGTCCTGCCCCTCGTCCTCCAAAAATCCACCTTGCCCATTTCAACTCCAGGCAATAATTCTGCCTGCGACATTCCTAGAATTTTCTTATTACCCGTTCGCAGGGGGGAGAACCACGCCTGGCTCATCGGCTGCAGTGCCCCGAAGCGAGTCAGAGGACCGTGCACCGTCCCCTCCTGCATAGATGGACTTCCTTGCCTATCCAGCCGGGAACATTTTCAGATGCCCTCTAAGTGTCCTCGAAGTGGTAGAGGTTGACTGGCTAAACCAGAGACACGATGCTTCAGGCTTAGGGGATCTTCTTACTTTTTACTGGAACCCTGCAATTCCTCAAGCAGGGCCAGGTGCAAAGGGATACTGCAGGTACAACCAGGCTAAACACGAAGGGACAGAGTGCCTCTGGGCATGTGCTCAGACTGGGAATATCTGACCACTCACAGAATCCAGCAACCCAGGTAAAGGTAAAGGTTTCCCCTTGTCATGAAGTCCAGTCATGCCTGACTCTTGGGGGCGGTGCTCATCTCCGTTTCCTGGCCAAGGGAGCCAGCGCTTGTCCGCAGACGGTCTCCGTGGTCGTGTGGCCGGCATGACTAAACACCGAAGTGGCACCTTTTCATCTACTTGCATTTGCATGCTGTCAAACTGCAAGGCTGGCAGGAGCTGGGATGGAGCAACGGGAACTCACTCCATTGTGCAGATTCGAACCGGCGACCTTTCGATCCACCAGCCCAGCAGCACAGCGGTTTAAACCACTGCGCCACCTGCAGTCCCTAGCAACCCAGAGACGACAGCAAATTTGACCACCACTGCAATCGTAGCCACACAAATCCCCATTTTGTCAAGGATGCTTATTTCCAAGGGAGGAGGGAGGCTGCCTAACCAGGAGAACGCACCCAGAGGCAGCACAAATGCATCTGGCAGCACATCCTAGCCGGCTTGGCGAGTTTCAGCCGCTTGCTGCAAAACCACTGACTGGCTAAACCTGTCTTTTGAATCTCCATGCTGGGAAAACAGATAATGGGTGTGTTCGTGGTGACAGGAGAACCAGGGAGAGCCACTGCCTTTTCCCAAACTGGAGCCAGAAGCATGTGAGGATGGTATGTGTTATTATATTCTGCTCACCCCCTTTTCTACCACCGTCCTCTTTCCGTCAAGCCCAGGGTGGCATAGTAGGGGTTCTCTCATTCTATCCTCAAAACACGCTTGCGAGGTAGGCTAGGCTGACAGGGGAAATTGAACATCCAATACATCCTTTTTATTCAAACATTATTTAATTGTTAATATTATTTATTTATTTATTTTTCGGGCCAGGTCAACTCAGATTATATTATATTGTTTTATACTGTGTTTATTTATTATTGTGAGCCGCCCCGAGGCTTCGGTGAATGGGGCAGCATATAAACCTTCTAAATAAATGAATAAATAATACTGGATAGAGATTGGACTTGCCTATTAATGGAAACAGATAGAATCAGTTAGATTTCTCTCTCTTGATTTTTCCTACAAGAAGCCTAAGCTTGCCTCTGTGATCTTCCTCCTCTCCATTCCCTCCTCACAACAACCCTGTGAGGTAGGCTGGGCTGAGACTCAGAGGCTGGCCAAAAGTCACCCAGTGGGCCTTGCAGCCAAGTGGGGATCAGGATCGGGTCTCCCTGACACTTTAGCTACGCTCTGTTGCTCCCTTTGCAGAGCAGAAAGGCAGAGAGAAGTCAAAGAGAGTCCCAGTTTCTATCGGCATAACCAGAGGAAATTTGTAAGAGCCCCATGCCTCTGCAGCCACCCGCCGTGCATACCGCAAATCTCCACGGAGTCACCACAGAGCCGGGGCCGGAAGGTATGGTGTGAAACAGCCGTGGTGGGAGCAGCCACTTAACCCTTCCGCCCAGCAACCCCTTTCCTTCAGCCACTTCGCTTCCCTCTGAGGTTCTGGTAGCAGGTTGCAAGCGCCAAGGGGAAAACCAGATGGGAGCGAAGGGGGAACTGGTCGCACTCCCCTTCCCGCCAGCCGACCACTCCAAATCCCAACCCCCCTGCCGTGTTCTGTGGGAGGCTGGCTTGCCAGGGCCCGTCCCTGGCCAATGCAGCCTCCTGTGAATGCAGCAGATGGCTCCTTCGCTTCCGCAATGCCCAGTGCAGAATCTGAAACAAACAGGTCCTACGACTCTACCTGAGAGCACTGCGTGCTTTTCCATGACCTCACACACACTTCCNGACCCGTTGGTTATATTTTGAAAAAATGTATGCATTTTCTGCAGAATATGCTTTCATCCTCTAGTGGCCATGACATGAAATGCATGGAATACTATCCTAGGAAAGGTTTCCCTCTTTCAGCTGGAATGCATGAATGGAAGCAGAAGCTCCCAGTTACCCCTCTCTCCATCTCATAGACCATGGGTTTATACCCACAATGACACAAGCAAATGCCCAGCCATGGTGCCAACATTTCATAGAAAAATAGAAACACAGAGAGTCAGAAGGGTTCTAATGGGCCACATAGTCTGACCCCCTGCTCCAGCCAGCTTAGCTAATGACATGCCCACAAAGGACATGTCTAGCCTATTCTTGAACAAACACACTGATGTGGCCTCAACCATCTCCTGTGGAAGTCCAGTGCATGCCCTCATGTCCTAACCCTCAGGAAGTACTTCTTAGTGTCTAATTTGAATCTTGGTTCCCTGCACTTTGCTTAATTGGAGCACATCCTGCCGTCCTCTGCAGGGGAGAACAGGTCTGTACCCACCTCCTTGTGACGCCCCCACAAATACCTGCATGTCGCCAACAGATCCCCTCTGAGTCTCCTCTTCTCCAGGCTGAAGAGACCCAATTCCCTCAGACTCGTCTCATATGGCATCCCTTGCAAACCGGCCAACAACCTTGTGGCCCTGCACTGCACTGACTCTAATCTGGTTATATCCTTCCTGTAACGAGGGGCCAAAACTGAACACAATACTCCAGTTGCAGGCGCACCAGAGACATATAGAGTGGCAGTAATGCCACTCTTGATCTAGAAGCCACTCTTCTGGTTATTCAACCAAGGGTGGCATTCGCCCTCTTGACCACCACATCACTCTGCTGACTCATGTTTAGCCTGCAGTCAACCAGCACCCTGAGGTCTCTTTCACAAGTGCTGCTCTCCAGCCATTTGTCCTCTAACATGTACTTATGACACTCTTTCCTATGCCCCAAGTGAAAGACCTTGCACTTATCCACATTGAATGCCATCCTGTTGTCTCCTGCCCACTTCCATAATCTGTCCAGATCCTTTTGGATCTGGAGTACCTACTCCTCAGTTGTGGCCACTGCCCCAGTTTTAGTATCGTCTGAGAAATTGATCAGAGGAGTGTTCACCCCTTCTTCCATGTCGTTTATGAAAAGATCAAACAGGATCGGCCCCAGGACAGAGCCCTGGGGGACCCTGTTTGTCCCTGGCCACCATTCCAATGATTTTCCACAAATGGTTACACTTGGCTTTGTTCAGTCAGCCATGCCCTAATCCACCGAACATTGCTTTGGTCTATCCCAAAACTCCTTAGTTTCTCAACCAGGATATCATGGGGCACTTTGTCAAAGGCCTTGCTGAATACCACATATACCGCAGCTACCACGTCCCCTCCATCTAGCCATCTCAAAACCTTGTCATTGAATTCCACAAGATTTGCCTGGCAGGACCTGTTTTTGTGGAAGCCATGTTGTGTGGCTGTCAGTCTTCCTTCCCTATCGAGCATCACGAGATATCTCTCTATTATGGCTCTTTTCCATTGTTTTTTGTACAATGGATGTAAGGCTAACCGGTCTAAAATTCCCTATGTCCTTTCTACTACCCTTTTTGAAAATTGGGACCACTGATGCCACCCTCCAGTCCTCTGAAACTTCACCAGTTCTCTATGAGGCCTCAAAAATGGAGTCCAGTTGACGTGAGAGAACCCCTGTCAATTTTTGAAGTACTCTCAGGTGTAACTGGTCATGGCCTGGCAACTTTGTAACATCCAATGCCCTGAGAAGCCCCTCGTATTCTAGGGGGTGTAACTATAATCTGTACCCCTAAGTCCCTGGCCTCATCTAATCCCCTATGCTGATCTCTCCTGTCCTTCCTTGGGGTAAACAAAGAAGCAAAATGGTCATTTAGCATCTGCGTCTGTTCCCTCGTATCAGCCCCTGGGTCTCTTTCCTCCTTATTTAGCAGTCCCACTACTTGTCTCC